TTAGGAACTGCTTTACTAGGAACCCTGTTTAACAAATACACAGCGGTCCTTAAAGCGTGCATCCACAATGATTTGGGTAAAGATGAGTTGCTTAACATGCTCCTAACCATATCCATTAAAGTACGATTCCGCCTTTCTGCAACACCATTTTGTTGCGGTGTTCCTGGCATAGTGTATTGAGCACAAATACCACGTCTTTCTAGGAACTTAGCAAATGGACCAGGGCACTGTCCACTTTCATCATATTTTCCATAATATTCTCCACCCCTATCAGATTTGACAATTTTCACCTTTCTTTCTAATTGCCTCTCAACTTCATTGATAAACACCTCAAGGGTATCTACCGACTGAGATTTTTCATGCAGCAAATAGATATATCCATAACGTGAAAAATCATCGATAAAGGTAATGAAATACTTTTCTCCACCAAGTGATGGAACATCAAAAGGCCCACAAATATCAGTGTGTATAATTTCAAGGAGCTGTGAGCTTCTTGTGGCTGCTTTCTTAAGTGTGTGTTTTGTGTGTTTTCCTTTAATACACTCAACACAAATTCCAAGATCAGTAAAATCCAAATGAGGAAGGATTTCATTCTTTACTAGCCTTTCCATTCTTTCTTTGGATATGTGACCCAAACGTTTATGCCACAAGTAAGCAGAGGATTCATCAAACAAACCACGTTTAATACCAACATTATGATGCAAGGTTAAGAGAGTCTCAGCGAATAGGGAATCAAGCTTTAGTTTGTACAAACCATCAACAAGGGTACCAGAACCCAATAAAACATTCTGTTTGAACAAACTAATAGAACCATTTCCAATGTTCCAAAAAAACCCAGCCTTATCTAGTTGAGACACCGAAACCAAATTACGAGAAATAGAAGGAGCATAAAGGGTATTGACAAGGTCCAAATGATGACCAGTATCTAAAACCAAACGATAAGTCCCAATAGCTTCAACTGGGACTTTGGCTCGGTTTCCCATATAGATGAACTTCTCATTTTGCCTTATGGTTTGGGTCGTAAGGAATCCCTGCATCGTTTTGGAAACATGAATGGTACAACCAGTGTCAACCCACCAAGTATTATAAGGAACCTCAGTTAAATTTGATTCGAAACATATTGAAGCACTAGGCTTACCCTTTCTTTCGAACCATGCCTTTCTTTTCAAGCAATCTTTCTGATAATGTCCGGCTTTCTTACAGAAGCGACATATATCCTTACTTGGTTCCTTCTTGTGGATTTTGGCAGATGACTCATTAAGCTTTGATAGTACTTCTTTGCCCTTCCCATTCTTGTTCCATGGTTTCTTTCCAGCTCCTTTATGACCAACAAGATTGGCAGAGTGATTTCCTGGTTTCTTAAGCCTTGCTTCCTCTTGAATGAGCATGCTTTGTAACTCATGCACATTCCATTTATCCTTTAGAGTATTGTAATGCACATGGAATGTGCCATACTCTGGAGGTAAGGAATTAAGGATGAACGTTACTAGGAAATTTTCATTCACTTCCATTCCCATGGTCTTTAGTCTTGCTGCAATGTTTGTCATTTCGACGATATGCTCATGCATGGTACGAGAACCATCAAACTTCATGGTGGTTAGCGTACCCATCAGTGTCCCAGCAAGCGACTTATCAGCAGACTCAGATTGAGAGCTTTCTTTCACGGAATTCATAAATTCCTTAGCACTTTCAGTATCATTGAAAGTTGACTTAATGTTGTTTGCTACAGTCATTCGCATAAACATTAGGCTTAGTCTGTTAGATCTTTCCCGAGCTTTATGGAAAGACTTTTCCTCAGCACTGCTAGCATCAGTAAGAGCAGCAGGTTTCTCACTTAAGAGTGCCAAATCAAGATCCAGAACACCGAGGTGAAACTGAACCTGTTCAGCCCATTCAGAGAAGTTGAGGCCATTAAACTTAACAACAGACGTGGCTTGCGAATGAAGAGAAACAGGAACAGATGCTGCAAACATATATAACATGTACTCACACATTAATGCTTTGGGTAATAAGCATAAACTATAATACAGATTCGGAAACATAAACATAAAACATATATTGGTGCTACCTTTGGGCAAAACAACAATATATATGCGATAAATAATCGTAATTGATGCTCAAAATAATCATATAATTGGTGATAGACATACTCAAATTAGATATACTTGCAATCTCTGGATATACTAAATATATCTAACCAAGCACATCAATTTACCACGATAATATTCATGAATTATAAAACGAGCAATCAACCTTTGGGCGATTCGAAAATATTTTATAGTCACGAACTTCAACTTTAAAGCATCACATAAACATTAGTAGTTGAACTTGATTCAACTTGATATCTATAAACCTTCTAATTGGCCACTTTGGTGACTAACAAATTTAATCATAACATAGATATCAAAGATATAATTTAACTCACATCAAAGCAATTGTTAATTATAATTCTCAAATACACATACGCAAAACTTGACTCATTAATAGGTTACTATTATAATAATTGCTTAACTTATCAACCATTAAGCCTACTGATCAAATTCATTATCAAGAAACTCAAACATATTATAGCCAAAGCCAATAGATAGCAACATGAAAGAACTCATGGAATTTGATCAAACATATATAATTGCACCCACAGAAGCAAGACCTTGTCAATAAACGACAAAGCTAATAGAATTGGAATTTGATAAAGCAATAGCTTAACCAATAAAATACAAATCCTTCACCCCCTGGTAGCGAGGAGGTGCCCTTGTCCACTTGCATCATATGTGAGAAAGGATCAGACTAATAATATCCATTCCATAGACTGGACAAAAGGTACAAATAAAGGAAAATTGCGAATAGACAATTAGAAACCCTACAGCCGAAGCATAATGGCCTTGAATATAATTAGCATGGCAATGGTTCTCGCATACGCAGCTATTGTGAATATAATGGCCTTGAATATAATTAGCATGCGTACAGATGCAGCGGAAAAATACATAATCGAAAAACATATATTCATATAAATCAAGCTCTGATACCACATGTAAACATAGATCATAATAGCATGGATCTTAGAATTAGATGATTTCACGAATCGATAATAGATCGGGAAAACCTACCTCGATCCATGACGAGAGCGGCGGCGGCACTGGAGTAGTTATCACCGGAATTGAGTTTCTCCCTCTTGACCCCTTTAGGTTTTAGGTTTAGAGATTTCTGTGATGGCTAAGAAATTCTACGTAATGGGTTGAGAGAGGACCAATCCTAGAGGTTCTTTATATAGACCCACCATCAGGGCATATTAGGAATTTACCTTTCATTAACCTAATCAATATAGGATTTACCTTATATATTAAATCATTAAGTGATAATTACACTTGGGCCACAATTATTCCCTAGTGACCTACGGGAATTGGGCTTACAGGGTAATCCTCTAATTAGTTGTTATCATATGTTATATCATCATTTTACACTAATTCTACAAATTAAAATTCAAAATCCGACACCTTAGTGGTTTATGTGTTTATATGACTACATCTATCAATGAGTCATATATACGTTAACATTGTAAGACATTTGGAACATGAATCCAACTTATTGCATAATTTTGACTCGGTATTGAACGTTCGTTCTCATGCATGTTTTGTCATTTTGATACAATTAAGGGGTGGTAAAGCATAGTCGGTTGTTTTAATTTAGGATTTTTGTTTCTCTTAGCCTACCTTTTTACGAAGAGTTGGGATTCCAACTCTAAAAGAGAGGAAGAAGGAAAGAGAGACCGAGAGTGGGAGGCCAGGAGAGAAAATTGTTGGCAATTCTATTCCGTTACCGTTAGCAATTATATTTTGCAGTGAAAGAGTCTGTTCTTAGTAGAATTTAATAAAATAAAAAGGCAACCAATTATACATTGCCAGGTGGACATGTTGCAAGACTCCCTTACAACCCGATTTGCACGCAAATATCATCCTGTACACAATAAGAACAAAAGAGTACACTGAGAATTCCTACTCTCCTTCACACCCAAGCGAGGGTCTTGGACACCTATAGTTCATTGGGATCAAAGGACTTAACCTAACTCCGACCCATATGAATTTTATAATGGTCATCCCTAATAATCCATGTTCCACTCATAATTTCCCTCTTGTAATCAAAACTCTTGTAATCCATGTGATTATAATACTCTTGTCTTTGCCAATAGAAAGTTTAGTCGTTGTGTAAAGAACTTAAAAGCGATTGTATGCCCTAGTACCTTCATAACGAGGGCCGATTGCCATTCAAGGGAGCATTTTCGTCCCTTGGCTATCGAGTAGTGGATGGCAGAGCACTTAGGATCCTCCTTTCATGGATGCACTCTGTCTCTACCATCCTCCCGCATAGCCACTGCAATATTTTCTAAATCTTAGTCCGTGACATACCACAAATCGGTCTTCATGTATATGTTTGCTACTATCAAAGCACGACATTAGGACAGTAACAACATTTTTTAAAAAGTAATATAGGCTTACTTTTTGTGATTAGATACTACTTAAGGAACACAACCTGAAATTTAATACTAGTTATTATATTACTACTAAACCAACTCATTTTTATGATAGTAGCTAACTACTTATGTTGCCTATTTGTAGAAGTAAAAACTATATTCCAAATGGAGTGAAATATCTCAAGGCTTAATAGCGGCCCGGTATAATTATGTTGATGGTGTTTGCCGGATCAACGCATATGCATGACAAACGACGTTTCCACAGAATAGCAGTAACTTCAATTGCATTGGATTGTGAAAATGGTGGGGTGACGTGGTTTTACTGACCACAGTATAATTCCACTTCAACAGTGAGTCGCACACAACCATCACTAACAACAAGTCATTCTTCATATACAGCCCTCAAAATCAATGGCTAGAACGGGTTGCATATAATGATAATCTCCCATCATGTCTAACTTCCACCTAACGAGTAAAGACTAGCCTGTGTCTGATCACCAAAACTGTCGATTTAAGATTCGTCTATTCGCGGTCACAACTCGTCTTTGCTCCCGGAATCCTCACCCATCAACTCTTCGAGCGAGAACTCGTCTTCTTCGACGATCTCCCCATCTTTACCATCCCATGGCTCGGTCTTCACGATCTCTGGTGTTCCTTCCAGTGGCAGGTTTCCTTTTCCACCGCGCCCTGCTTCCTTAACGAACTCTCTAGGAAAACAAAGAAAGATTTTTGTTGAGATTATCATTGTTGGTCATGCTAAGGGATCTGGGCAATGAAACTTAGAAGTCACCTGATGTATTCCAGCTCGTAGGCACTTTTAAGCGGGGCGTAGACTCCTTTCTTCACGTTCAAGGCAACCAGAGCTGGGTACCCATACCCACCTACACCAACACTGTTCTCAAGATTTGGTTGCTTGCCAGCAGCAGCCCAGACATAGCTGCAGGGATTTATCGACAATAATTAGTACACAGATGGCTGATTAGAAAGATTTGAGCTCCTGCTTGTTTTGGTTAAGTAACTTACAAATAAAGTTTGACCTAAAAGCTCAAACGACCACATCATTCAATCTAACTCTTTAAAACAACTATTCAGCCAAAGTGTTTAAAGCTGGAAGCAAGTACTTCACTAGTAATAGTTCATTTCCTGTGTTGCCTATTTGGTTTAAGAATATTTTCTTCAAGCTATGACCATAATCGAAGCTAACAATTCAGTTTCAGGAAGGGATACTTGAAGGTAAGACTGCTTGCCTGTAGGGGCTTCTTCTGAACTTCTCTGCAACTGATAATAATTGGTCGAGGTACTTGTTCCTTCCTTCTGCCTTGGAGTCTAAGATATCAGGCAAGAATGACACGAAACAGATGGCAGCTGAACCACACTTCTCCTCCATGACGTCCTGTGCAAGAATTTTGTGGCAATATATCAGGAGTTAATGGGGGATTAAGCAGGAGTAAAGACTTTCCAGATGGTCAAAGCGCATACCGGGCCAGTCAACTCAGTTACTTCAGGAGGTGCAACATTTGTTTCCAGCTGCTCCAGCGCGAATGACTCGATAGCTGAGGCTGTTCTAGCACCCTCATACGGCATGGGGCTGTCTTTGTCGGCACCAAATACCTTGATTGTTGGAAATCCTTGAATATTAAACCTGCTCATGAAAGACTGGAAAAGGACAAAGTACTGTATTAGCATAATCATAGATGTGGAACTATACACTTCAGCAAAGAAAGCACCAGCAAACAATCACATGGGCAAGGAAAAATGAATAACTACAATTCTCTAATTGATGTGCTTAGCTACATTACTATCCAAACACAATTGGCATAATCATAGATATGGAATTATATCCTTCCTCTGAGAAAGCACCAGCAAACAATCACATCAATAAGGAAAAATGAATAACTATGATTTTCTATTTTATGTGCTTAGCTACATTACTCTCCAGACACAATTGGTCATATCATTTCAAGCAATAAACATGTTCAGGTAGATATTAAACAGAGATATGACAGCTAGGAGCACATAATACATGATTTTTTCATTTATCAAGTTGTGTATATGGAGCAGTTTATCACTCAATACGCAACTGAAAAAGAATGACGAGTTGTTCCAAAAAATATAAAACATAGGATCAACTTTACCTTCTCTGAGTCGCAGTCAACATGACCCAGTTTCACCTTCCCCTTCAAATTACTAGCTGCCTTCTTCCACTCAGGAGCCAATTTTTTACAGTGTCCACACCTTGAACAGGACCAGAAAATGATACTCAAAACCATATCACAAAATGAAGAGCTCAAGAAAGCCACATTGTTTACATAATGCAGTTAGTTGCCTGATGCTTACTTATTTGGTGTTAGAATACAACTAAATAGATAAGTCCGAGGCATGCAATCTCAACAGATTTCACATAGAAGATTACTTCTAGGCCCCATGTTCGTAATAGGAAAACCAAAAACACAACATACATCTCAAGAAGGCATGACATAGAATTCAGCAGAATCTCTAAAATACATACCAAGGAGCGAAAAATTCCACAATCCAGAGGTCTTTACTTTTTATGACCAACTCATCAAAGTTGCGAGCGTTCAACTCTACTGAGGCATTTGGTTCAGATTTTTCACTAGAACCACTGGTTGACTTTCCATGCAACCGATCCTTGAGAAGTGCCTTTATCTGTACAAGAGTGGATGGTGAGACTAAGAACATCATATATGGGTATAAACCTTTGCAGAGAACAACAATGGATCATATCAAACCTGCTGGAGCCCAAACTCCACAATGGGTTTGGCCTCCCTAGCTCCTTGGTAGTTAACAGGTGGCTTGCCAGGAGAAAACACTTTTATTGTTGGAAAACCTTGAATTCCATATTCCTGCAGATACCAAATTATCAATCATTAAACACTCACCAGAACAACCAGATCGGAACACATTCTTTTTCAGACCCGCAAGAATTTTCTCAGCAACACGTGCAGAATGAGTCCAATAAGCATCAATTGGAATAGCAAAAAACCTGAGCAAGACCCTTGTGTTCGTCAGCATTAACAGCTGCCACTGTGGCCACACCTTTCAAGACTGTGGCAGCTTTCTCCCACGCTGGCGTAAGAGCTTGACAATGGCCACACCAAGGAGCGTAGAACTCAACCAGAACAACTCCATTGGAGTTTAGAACCTGAAGTTCATAGCCTCAGTCAGTTTTAAAGGAAATGAGAGGATCCAACCAGAAAGCCACAACCTTTACACAACATAACTTCAAAAGTTCATATGAAAATCAGCTTGTAACCTACAAAGCAACCTAGTTTCTGCAAGAGCAGCAAAATTTTACTAGAGATGGAATAACCTAACCCATTACTCAACTACACAATGCTCAAATCCAGAATGGAGGCAATGCTATATATTCACTCTCGCATTCCCAATCGGCATAATTCAGCGATGGTTCTCGTTTAGCCATATCAAAGCTTCAATGAACTCAGGGCAAATAGTCCAATCAGTTCACACCTCTACAATTGACAATAATAAAACCTACATATTATGAACATTCACAGTGGAAAACAAATGTGTCGACAGAGCTTTACAAGCCCGATCTGGTCAACAAGATCGAAGCCATGGTAATTCAATCCGAAAGTTCGGATTCAGGCGGAAGATCGCACTTCTTTACATTTCCACTTACTTCTGATTAGGAAGCAAAAATCATATACTTCTGTTCTTCTTTCCTCTACGCATTTCCATTATCCGTGAAACCAAAAAGGGAAGGGGAAAAAAAACTGAGCTACGGCGTTGGTTTCAGTTCATCAGGTCTGTTTACCTTGGACTTGAAGTTGGAAGGAGTGAGCTGAACTACCGGAGTCGACGCACTGTAGAGTGCAGAGCAGAGCTTGGATGCGAAGAAAAGCAATGAAATCGCCGCGAGGAGTGGCAGCGATCGGGATGGGAGCATCTTCTTTTCTCGTTACTTTCTCGACAATTCACTTAGAATCACAGTGGCGAATCGGAGCAAACTTGTTCAGAGAAAAAACTTGGAAAAACCCTCCGCAGCGAGCGAGCTACGTGTGCAAACCAATAACAGGTTGCCACGTCATCATCTTCCACGACGCCCAGTCTGAATTCTGAAACATATAATTATAAATAATTCTTGGAGAAATTTATTTTTATTATGGCGTGTTCCGTGCACCCACACCTCATAAATGTTATTTTGAGCATGTGATTTATGTCAAAACGGTATCAATTGTTGTTTATGCTATTATGGACAAAAAGCACATGAATTTGAAGAAAAAATATTCAAAATTTACTTTAATTTGAAGGATTTAGGATTTGGGGATTTAGGGTTAGGGTTTAGGTTTACAATTTGGGAATTGGGTGGGATTCAAAATTGAAAGTTAAGGGGTTAGGGTAATAGATTGATTTGTTATGATTCTATGTCATATCATCATATTAGATTGAGAGTACTAATTAAAGTTCAAAATTTGATGTATTATGGACACATTTAGAGTTGTGCACCCAAAAAAGAGAGTGCGCCGAAGTAGCCACCTTATTTTTATAAATAGTTTCGGACAGGATTAAGCAGGGCTTTTCTCGGTGTTTCTCTTTGGATATCCGAGACTAGGCCTTACCCACCCCATATTGGCTTTAGATTGACGACTTCTTGCCTAATCTCTAATGGATTTGGGGTCATGATAGCTTTTGTCCAAAATTCATTGTTTGCTTCATGTATTTAGAGGTAACAAATCCGTGAGACCCATGGATTTTGAGGGTCCAAATCCGTGGGCCCCACGGATTTGAAAATCCCACCTCTTTATGTAGGAATTTTATCATGGACTTTGAAGTCCATTTTTCACCAACCTACCACTTATATTTTCTTTCTCTTCTTATATCATTGAGAACAATAAAGGTAAAGTTATCTGCACACATACAGATCTAATTAACAAAATAAATAATGAAATCCATGAAATAAACAATGGACTTTTTCAAATCCATAATGAACTCAAAATCCTCATATATTCATGGTTTATCAAAACTGAAGTTATACCAAAACCTTCATTTTTCATATCCACGATGCAAACGATCCCTAGGACTTTTTCAAATTCATAATGAACCCAAAATCCTCATATATCCATGGTTTATCAAAACTCAAATTATACCAAAACCTTCATTTTTCAGATCCACGATGCAAACGATCCCTAGGTGATAAGTTCATCTCGGTTAAAGATCATATTTTAATTTAATAACTCAAAATTTGCATAAAGTAGTGGTTGTTTAAATACTTTTCATACAATAAAATGTTAACTAAAAAGTGATCCATCAATCAAATCTCGATTATAATATCACCAGCTAATAATAGGACGAAACTTGATCTTGTATTTGTCAAAATCAGTCACAATGAGAGAATATAGACTTATCATTAGTATTAGAAGGTTTCCATTGGAATTGCATTTAGAATTGTATTATGACATGACATTCATTTGTAATTGCATGGATGTAGATAACAATTGCATCTTTGCAAGCTTGCATATAATGAAATTATGGAATGCAAGCCACATCATCTTTTTTATTATTAAATTATTCATTAATTTTATTATTTGAGTGTTTATGTTTTAATAAATTATTTGCAATTGCAAGTTAATTGCATTGATGTGGTGCAATGCAAGTAAAATGAGTTGGATTGCAAAAAAAATGAAGTAACAATTAAAAAACAAATACAATTACAAATACAATTGTATCAATGGAAATGCTCTTAAGCATATGCTTGTATATAATAATCAATCACAATAAGTTTAAAATACTTGCACGCCAAGTTACCAAGTCAGAGCAGCTGATCCCAGGTTTACTACATACAGGATCTAGGAACTTGGTAACAGTCAGGTTATTTTTAAAAGAAAGGGATTGAAAAACTGTAATGGCTAATCAATGTGTGTACCATAATATCATGGTAATTTGAGATCCTCCTCTGCTGTAATTTTTCCTTATCCTCCTTCCAGAAATTCCCTGAATCCAACCTTTTACAAATCCTATTCCAAAATGCAATGCGAAGTCATGTCAAAAGAGAGTAAACACCTTCTAGTACAGGTCATGGTTAAGCACAAATATTGAGGAATTTAATGAAATCTCATTTCTCTGATATGTACAAATCGGCAGCAATTTTCGAAGGTGGGTGATGTTATTAAGATGAGCAATGGGACTAAGAAAGCAGTTGATCTTGTCATGATCAATAATTCCCTTTCTGCCAGCGGCGGATTCAGGGGTCGTCCCTCAGGCCACAGTAGCGGCGGACCCATAAATTTTTTTATAGGAGTGTCCCAAATTAAAAAATAAATTAAATAAAAATAAAATTGTAAATAAGAAAATACATTATTCGTACAGGTTTAAAAAGTCCATGATGTGTTTTCATATTCGGAAAAATTGTAGAATACATTTGATGTCTACAGTGTTAAAAAAACATTGTCTCTAAATATCCTATTAGACAATGACTCACGAACTTATCGCATATTCGATTTGTAAACTTGCTCTTGATGTAACCCAAAGCTAAAAGACTCTTTCAATACTTGCCTTACAACCATAAAATCAATACAAATTAAGGGTAGCTTGAAATTAGTTTAATTGTTAGGTTTTGAAAATAATTAGAGATAGGTTATGACATTTTACTATTACACAGTGTTCAAAATCGAACAACAAATGAGTTTTAGTTTAATGAAAATTAAGTTTATTAATAATAATCGTGTTCTAGGTTTGATTACCCAACCTACCACTTATATTCTCATACTTAAATTTAAAAATGACAGTAGGATAATCATTTTTTCAAATTCCAGGGGTATCCCCCACAATCAATTATAATTTTTTTTAACATATGTAAATTACCACCAGGGGTTGAATAATCATTTCCCCAAAATTTAGGGGTGTCACGGGACACCTCTAAAGTTCTCTGGGCCACGGCCCAGCCCTCTCCGAATCCAGAGCTAGTATAGTCCCTGTAAATTTTCGATTTTAGGTATTTTTTTTAGTGTTCGTCATATTACGGCCCAGATCTTTTAAAATGTGCCCAGTACTCTTCGCATCTTTTAAAATGTGGCCCAGTGCTCTACTCTATCTTAATCAGCCGCTGCTTTCTACAAATACATATAATGCTGTCAAAGTCCCCTGGCAAACACAAAATAAAATGGTTCACTTAGTTAACATTAGTTTTCTCAAAGGAGGTACTTGCTTCAATGCAAACAAGCATCGAGAACACAACAGGATAAATAAGGACATTTTCAATTTACAACTCATTCCGCGGGGATAGCTCAGTTGGGAGAGCGTCAGACTGAAGATCTGAAGGTCGCGTGTTCGATCCACGCTCACCGCATTTTTTTTTGTTCAATGTAGTAGTTTGATGACATAGACAGGACTCATGATTTTGGTTCAATGTAGTAGTTTGATGACATAGACAGGACTCATGAACTTGCCCTTGTTATCGTCGTGACTTTTTAACAAATACAACAAGATCCTCGTATCGGCTTTATCGTAAAATTTGTCGCTACCTCCAAAATTGAATAAAAGAGGAAATTTTGTAAAGACGTTCTTAAAGTACGTGTAATCTAGAGGGCTCATGTGGTCATCCTCATTGTCGAAATCATACATTTCCAATGTCTCTCGCCTAACCACTTGTGGTCACACTCCTATAACTGTATATAGTTTGTTTCATATGTAGAAATACAATTGTCCATATTAACTAGAGGGCTCATGTGGTCATCCTCATTGTCGAAATCATACATTTCCAATGTCTCTCGCCTAACCACTTGTGGTCACACTCCTGTAACTATATATTGTTTGTTTCATATGTAGAAATACCATTGTCCATATTAACTAGAGGGCTCATGTGGTCATCCTCATTGTCGAAATCATACATTTCCAATATCTCTCGCCTAACCACTTGTGGTCACACTCGTATAACTGTATATTGTTTGTTTCATATGTAGAAATACCATTGTCCATATTGACTCTCGTAGCCGCAGAGTTCATCATATTGGCCAAGTAAAATAAAAACATTGATTATGAAAGTAATCCATTATGGTAAAAGAACAAACCCGTTATCTGTTGGTGTGGATGAATATAGTTTAAGTCTTTAAGACTGATATGACAATAGGTTAAATCTCAAACTCCTTCAATTGTTTTTAGGGTTATAGGTATAATATGTCCCTTTACTATGCAGTTTTATCAAACATGCCACTCTATTATTTTTTACATCAAACATGTCCCTATACTTTGTAAAAATGATAAAAAATGCCCTTATGTTAAAATTTGCATCCAAAAACCATCAACCATGGTCGAACCTTGGTTTGGGCGATACCTATGTCTAAAATATTTTTAATAATTTCACTTTAGAATTGTTTTGTTTCTTTTGTACAGCCAAATACCTCTAATAAATTCACTATAAAAAGATCTGGAGAAATAAACGAGGAAGCAAAACTGATATTTCACCTCCAATTTTTTCGATGTCGGGTAGTGCGAATTCGGTTCAACAGTGGTTGACCATTTTCTAATGGAAATTTTAACATACGGGCTTGTTTAATCATTTTTACAAAGTATAGATGCATGTTTGATGTAAAAAATAATAGAGGGACATGTTTGATAAAACTGCATAGTAAAGTTACATATTATTTTTATGAACACCCTTATTTTTATGAATGGATGCATTCAAACTCATCAAAACAATGAACAAAATCTCGAGCTCAGTCTAGTAGGCAAGTAGGTTTTCCTTTTATTATATTTGTGTTACAATTAACGAATACAACATTAGTTTCATGATCACATAAGACGAATGAAAACATATAATTGTCTCCTCATTCAATACTGATTAAGAAAACCGAGCAGTGGGTCATAAACCTTTTCCCTGACATTATCAGCCATGACATAGTCCGCATGAGCATAGTTATCTATGAACTGAGTCACAAGCTTGTCTCCCATATGGTCCTTCAAGCTTCCCAGCAAGATCTGCACATCTTTATCAGAGGTAATTCCATCTGTGCCTCCATAAGTGAGGAAGAGAGGCAAGTCCTTCGGAATTCGGGTCATGTCGTACACCGGAGGGCTAGGCTGCCCATAACGCTTCACATTTTGGCCCTCGTTGTCGTAATCATACATAGTTATTGTCCCTCTTCTCACCACTGGCAAAACGAGAAAATACATAGCAAAAAAATCAGTAATCAGAATAAAGAAATCCACGACATCATAGGACATCAATTTCTGGTTCAACTGGGATTCGGGATTCGGATAGGTTAGGCGGGTAGGCTGGGTCATGTCAGATTATGCTGATTCATAATCTAATCAACTAGAGCCTTACTTTGAGAAAGATGGAGCAAGTTCTTAGTTGATGTTGGTTGAGGCTCATATTTCAGGAACGAATCCATTGCAGAAGGTTTCAGACAGCAGTTCTTCCCTGGTACAAAAATGGCACGCAGAATTCAGTAACCATCCGATTCATGCATCCCATGAAAACGAAACATGAAGTTTGGACTAATGAACTAACCTGTCAATGCAGTCATCAAGTTGCTGCAGTCCACAAATGGCAGCTTGCACATTTTCTCAAGAAACTTTTGAGCAGGACCCCTAGTGTCACAAGTCATACCAGGATTCCATCAGGGAAAACAAGTTTTAAGATTGAAACAGCTAAGAGGGAAAAGAAACATTTCACAGCCTGTTTACCCATTTGGATCAAATTCCTTAATCTTCAGCCAGTAAAATCCCTGTTCCATGGAAGAAAACAAACAAATTGTTAGTGAAACTATCGTTCTTTCAGCTCCGGAAGAGAAGAGAAGAACAAGCAACGACGACAGGAATTCACCTCGGCGAAGAAGAGATTGATAGACCCTCTCATGAGGAGTGATGACATGTGATGCATATAAGCGACAGGACAAAGCAAAGTAGCTGAACTCAACTTGTTGACAAGATGGCCTCTTGAAACAGCTGCTAGAGCTAGCAAATTTCCCTGTGCATACAAATGACAGACATGAGAATCTCTTGAACTTACCAGAGTCCTTAAAACAGCAACTTGGGGATCTTCAGAATATTCACCTGGGAGTGTCCAACAAAGTGCAGCTTCTGTTTCGTCTGGTCATAGATATAATCAACCGTGGCAGGAAGATCCTGAGCTGCCAATTCGTCCCATGACCAATCCCAATAAGCCTGACAATATCAGAACAGCAATAGGTATGTTTCTGTCAGCAGCTGGCACCAGGAAGGAATGATAACAAAGGACAGGATATGATCAGAGAAAGCAAACTAACTCTGTCATCTGGAGCATAAGATACATGGCCTCGGCTGGACGTGGTCCCACGGCCATGGACAATCCAGACATCATAACCATTATCTGCCAAGAGGAATGCCAGATTTTGTCCTGGAGGTAGTAGAAGCCAGGTCATTCCATCCTGCCAACATAACCAAAAAAAAAAAAACAAAGCTTCATATTACATAACATCATACATCAAAAGCACTTAAAGTAACATAAGCAACGGGAAAAATTTGCTAACCATGAACAGTCCATGCTGCAGAAGAACAGGCTTTCTGGAACCACCACCAGAATTGCTAGCAATTCTCTGCATGCTGAGGATGTAACCATCTTTTGTAGTCACCTGAAAAGATACAACCCAAAAGAGACTTCTGAAGATTCATTCTATTGAACTAGTGCATCTTTTTCCTTTCTGTGAAAATATTTACCGTGTGTTCTGCACAGCTGTAGCCTAGTGGCTCGACCACTGATCTGCAGATACCATTACCAGCTGCAGCAGCCGAGAAATTCTGCGATGTAGCATCAACCATAACCATCCCGCAAACAAGAAACGATACAACCAACTGTAGAATTCTAGCCATCTTTGTTCCTGAACTGTTGTGTGTTTCCAGACTTGTCACAGTTCTAGTATTTGAGTACAACTTTATACCGCAATATTTCCAGATGAAAACAAACATGAGAATTCCGCAACAACCCACAAGTATTCCAAATAACATCGTCTTAGCCATCAATCATCATTAAATACTTGTAATTGGGATTCACAAATTATGCTTTTCAGGCTCGGGGAAAACATGCAAACACCCGAAGCTCTATAGTTCTAAATTGTGTCCCACTTTGTCTCACATCATATGAACAAAACAGACCATGCCTTTCCAAAACCCCAATGAGATACCTTCTCAATTTCACCGGTTGCTCTTGTCAAATAGCTCAGGGAGCCATTCAAACCACCATAAGCTGGAGGCCAGAAGGAAGCAGAAATGCTGTCTTTTTACCCCCTTCACCTTGCACATATCAAGCTGTTGTTTTCTATGAGACGAATGCATTAACATTAAGCAATAAACACGTTTAAAACGAACGTGCTTTTAATCATGGTCAAGCCACTCCAATATTGTCTACTAGCTAGGCAACAAAAACAGGTTGAATCATGCATCACTGGCAGATTTCTGAATACGCTTAGCCAACATTTTTTTTCTTCTTTTCATTAGGGTCCTCAATAACAAATTCAGAAAACGGCAATAGTAAGAGAAAGGTGAAGCAACGGCGAAGTTGATTTGGCAAACTTGGACAGTAGAGCAGATGATTTACAAAACTACTGCAATTTTCATTCTGCGAGGAGACAATGGAGCAAAAGAAAAACAGATTAGCTAGCTGCTTCTTACAAACTAGCAAGATTGATGGAGTTTACAAGAACCCTGTGACACCGGCGGCAGCGGCACATCCTTCAGGGCCTTGTTTTCATGCAAATTTGGTTGCAGTCTCCAAACACCAATCCTAGGGAGCTCTTGCCTTCCATTCTCGAAGGCTCCTTGGCCTCCATTCTCGATCAGCCGGCGGCGTCGGTGGCGTTCCTCTGCTTCGGGAGCAAATGGAGATTCATGAAGGAGCAGGCGACGGAGATTGCTGCCAGCGGTCACAGTTTCTTTGGGGATGGACGAAAACGGCAGTCGTATTTGCTCCTTATGAGTTATGAACAAACTTTCAGGCTATATGTCCGAGGGTGGGAGCATAGTGGGCCTTGTACCCAATAATTAGGGCCGAAGAAAGAAAGAGCGGGCAGTCCAGGCATATTCGAGCCCATAATCTTGAGATCTTTCATCTTTCTAAAGCGGACCGCGGTGGCAGCCTGGCAGATTCCCGAAAAGAATAGAAAATGAAGCGGAGGAGGAGGAAGGGGAGAAAGAGAACGCGTTCTTCTCTCTTCCTCCAAATTTGGACACATCAGAAGACGTCGATGTATTAAAAGCTACCGCGGACGGGAAGATAAGGTTGGTTAGCTGGAGCCTGTGTAAACAATTTTCAGACCTATTATATTGTGTAATGTGTACCACTAACGAAACTAGCATTTTTGGTCCAAAAAGAGAGACGTCAAACACAACTGTGTATGTGTGTTGTTTTGCAGAGCAAAGGGGAAGAGGAAGACACAAGACTGAGACTTCCAAGAAGAACCCAACCCCATTTTTCAGATTTTTTTTTTTTTTTTTTTTGCTTTCTCACACACCAAAATATTCCAAGTCCAATGATGAATGGGTTCCTGTGATGTGAACGAAGGCGGACGGATTGACGGAGAGTTGTCTTTGCAGTTGTGTCGTGTAAAGGTAGGAAGACTACAATGTAAAATTGTTGATTGTCTTCTTGTTTTATGTTAGAAACAAAGGTTATAGACAATTTAAATACTGTTGGTTTTTTTAAATAGCGATAGACAGTTATATTCTTGAGATTTTTTTATGAAATTTTGATTCGAGAATTTCATGCAATAACCAGTTTAATCTAATGAAGTTGTTCAACTGCCGAATACGATTCAAACGTTTGATTCCAGAGTAAATAGTTGAGAACATGTAAATTCATTATGCCTAAGAACAAGGTCAATCGGGTAGCTGATGGATGAAATGACGCCATATTCGCGCTAAGAGCTATACGATGAAAATGGAATGAAAGACCACAACGCTCATTGTGGATGACGAGAAAATGAGCAGATCGCCTACTGTGCAACGAGGAAAATAACACCCAACGTCAAAGCAAACATCCAAGGTTAGCGAGGAAGAACTCAAGGCGATAGAATTGACGAGAGGATAAAATGATTTGCAAGGTTAGGACAAAGAGGGTAGCCTACACAAACAAAATATCCAAACATTTTGAAATCACTAGTCCTAACAGACATATTCTTTCTATCATCGAAGTATAATGATCTCATTTCTACGACGCTCCACTTACACAAGAGTACAAGATTCACACATCGAAGCCACCCTTAAACATCATATGATTCATACCTCATAGTTGTGCCTCACTCAAGCGAAAAATCGATACTTATATCAATAAGTACATATTTACATACCCAACAAATAAAGATTTTCCCTCTCAAGAGAAAATCATCTTAGAAGAAATTCGTTCCTTTTTCTCTTCCTTTGTGTAAGTATCGTGTTTGAGACTTTGTGTAAGTATCGTGTCTTGCTTCTCAAAGGTTCAACCGAATTGTCCACGTAGTAAAATTCATGTCTTTACACTTGCACACCAGATATTTTCTTAAATTTCATATAATCCCTACTACACATCCTTAAAAGCAACCCTTAAAATGAATCCCCAATGTGATGGTGTTGAGCGTTGGAATGAGAAAATTGATATCAATTAAATAATTGGGGATAAAATTCAAGCTCAAACATTCTTTACTAAGAGAGCCATCGATCAACAATCTAAACCCTGATATCTCACGTAGAAGCAATAACATTCCATCTTTAATGCTGTTCATCCATTCTTAAATTTACACAATTGACTTCATTTTAAATCAATCCATCATGACCAATACCCATGGTGAAAATCCAACATCCAAACAACTAGTCCATAGTAATACGAAAACATTTCTAAACTATGGTTTAGATCTATTCAAGTAGTCATCAATTCATTGGCATGTGAATTTGCCGACTCCACCAATCATCACATTCAACTCACTCTATTGCCATAACCCTAAAACGATGATAACCACGCCCCTCCAAAACCACCTTCAAAAAATCTCAGAAAGCAGACTTAAAACAGAGGTAGAGAGTATCCTCAAAACAATGAAGCAAAAGTACTGCAAAACACCATACTTTGTGGAGCCAATGCAAAGGAAAGAAGCCATGGAGAAAAACTTCCAAGATGTGTTAATAGTACAGAGAATTCTATTGTTGTTTTTTATTTTGTACACGGAGAAACCAGAAAGCGTGGATTTTGATTTCTGCTTCAATGGGTAACACAGAGAGAGTGAGAGGAATCACAAGACAGAAGACGAACAGATCTCGGACGACCATGATCCTCTCCCCAAACCCTCCATGTTCCCATTCTAAGAAAGATCTAACAAAATTACACAGCAAATGAAAAGCATCATCAAGATGAAGAAGCTAATACATAAGGCTTCATCATCAAACTTGGAAGCAAATCGATTCGTGCTATAATCAAGCTTAGAACTTGTTCAACTCATCTAATCATACATCTAAATTGAAAGCAACCCACCATCAAATTCATCTTTCTCCAGCTTGCTGATGATGCTGCTGTGGCTGCAATTCCTTTTTTGGTAACTTTTTTTTTTATATTTTCTTCCTCCAATTCTTCTGTCATTTTCCCGAGAAAATAAAACCATAGGGAAAGAAAAAGGCAGAAATACAAAGGGGGGTTTACAGTAAAAATCGTTACAGACACAAGGCCAAGGTTGGGAGTTGGCCATCTATGGGGATACAAGCTCCAAATCCGGGAGCAGAGCCGTCGTCGTCGTTGTTATTGTCAATCGGAGCCGGGAAATTCAGATCAAAAGGCAGGAGCTTACCGGTAGAAGATTGAGATAGAGACACCGTGCAATCCTTGTCGTTGCTGCCAACGACGTCCACGTCGTCGGCATCGTCCACAACCGTCGACGACGAGTCGCAGTCGCTCCGACAATCACCCGGCGAGACCACCACGACGGGTCGTCGCCTCCGGGCCCTCGCCGGGTCCGGGATCTGAGCCGGATTGTTCGACCCGGGCCGATGACCGCTGCACGACTCCACCGTGCTGCTCATGCTGCTGCTCGTCCACCGATTCACCTGAACCGCCGCCGCACCTCCTTCCTCCTCCTCCGCCTCCCCGGCCGTCCAAGCTTGACGCTTGACCATCAAATCCTCTCCCCCGCCGCCACCAACAAAGACCCCAGAATCCACCAGCGGGAAATTGGTCCTGGCCTTGACGCCGCGATAAGATCTAGCGGCGGCGTCGTAGGCCCTGGCGGCGTCCTCGGCGGAATCGAAGGTACCTAACCATACCCGCGTCTTCTTCCAAGGATCTCTAATCTCGGCGGCGAATCGGCCCCATGGCCGCTTCCGGACGCCTCTGTACTTGATCTCTTCACCCTGTGGGGCGCCGATCTGCTCGGCGGCGGGCTGGTTTCTGGGTCGCCGCATCGAGGGGGTGATATGGGTGGATTTGGATAAGGGGGCGGGTGGGGAATTAAAAGCTGCGAATCGGAGAGAGAGAAGAGAAGAACGGAGAGATCTGCAATTGGGGATCTGGGTTTGGTGGGTTTAAGCAGCAATCTCCTCCGCCGGCGGCTCTCTTCTCTTCTTCGTCTTCTCCTCCACCATGGGGAAAGGAATGGAATGGATGAATTGAGGGGATTGGGAAATTTTGGGGATTGGGGATTGTGGTGGGTAATGGGAGATTGGTGATTGAATTTTCTGGGTTGCGGGGGGAGAGAAAACGATCGATACTTTTGTTTCCGGATTCGGGTTTTCGGGTCTTTTCCCTGGTATTCTGTAGAGGAGTTGTTGGGCTAATGGGCTGGGCCAGGCGAAGATGCTTTGATACCTACGCCCTCGGAATGGCCCGGTTTCCTCTCTCATCTTTTTGTTTTTTTTCAATAATTTAGAAAACCGTCATGACTCGTGAATACCAGGGTCCATAAGACCAAAACTAGTTGGTTATAGTGTTATGAAATTGTTGAAACAAGATAGGCTAACGGTAAAGTTGTCGCGACAGTGAAGGGTTGGGAGTTGTAGATTTTAGGTTCGAATTTAAGCGAGGTTAGTTGGTGTTCCCGGAGGTATAAGGTCGTTGGCGTCGAATTTGATTGCAGGTGGCTCCCAGGTTTAGTAGGACCCGCTGTCACAAAGTGGCACGTGGGGCTGAGGTTCCTGGGTAATAAAAAAAATTTTGAAACAAGATATCGATATAAAACACTTAATTATTGACTTTTCCGGTATAGCCTATGGTACAATATCACAATTCATGGTCTTTTCATAGTGTTATAGCCGTATACTTTTTTTTTTTTTTACATCAAACATACTACTATACTTCATAAATGTTATCAAACATTGCTTCTGTTCAAATTTTCATCCAAAAACCGTCAATCATGGTTAAACTATGATTCGGACAAACCTAACCTCAATAAAATGGGAGGGAAAATGTTAGTTTTCCCCCAATTATTTTTATAAGTCACATTAAAGTGAAATTATTAGGGTATTGGGATATACAAAAGAAATGAAATTTGTTAAAGTGGAATTATTAAAGGTATTTTAGACCTTTGTGTTGCAATCCAAGGTTCGACAATGGTTAACAGTTTTTGGGCGAAAACTTTAAGAGATGGACATGTAATATAATGTTCTAAAATATAAGGGTATTTGTATGTAGATAGTATTAGGTGAAACTAGCTTGTTGTCCGACCTGTTGGTCGGAATGTCATTGAATACAATATATGTATGATGTGTATTTAAAATTTTTAAATTACTTGAAATGCTGAATTTCGCATGGCATTTAGGCGATATCAAAATTATTTTTTCATTTTCGAAATTCTTATAACTTTTCATCAATGATGAACATTGTAAGCTTAATTGTTGTTATAACCAAAGTTGTCCATCTGGTTCAAATTGTTGAGCCGGGTCAAGCAAGTAGTTTGAAGTTTAATGGTTTGATTGAGGTCCAACCTGTTTGAGGCGTTTTACACCTTTTCTAAATATATTTACATATAAGATAAAAATTTAGTGACTAAAATGGAATGTAATAACTTATATCTATTAAAAATTCAAATTCCATAAGAAAACATACTTATTTCAAGATCCATCCATCATCCTCTTGCCTCTCTCCCCCTCCCCCTTCCCTCTTTCTTCTTCTCCCTCTCTAACGATCAGACACTTGGCTTTGTAGAGCCGGTTTTGGAACACGACTTTGGTCGGACCTAGTCCAATCAGCCACCCGGTAGAGGTGTAACAACCTTGGTTATAACACTCGTGAATAACCATTCATAACTTGTCGATTTAATGATGTAGTCACTCTGAAGAGAAAATTGACATAACAAAAAAAGAGTTTGTCTAAAAAAGCGTAGCATAAATAGGAAACTCATGATCATAACCTTTATTCAATATTTATTTCTTATGCTTGAGAAACAATACATATATAATAGTATATAAACCTTAAAGTATTCTGCACAATACAATAAAAAAATTAATTAGTAGGAAAATAACATTTTCCATCCATATTCTATGCAATGAAAAAATTATTTATCAACCAACATACTCTTAATTTAGTTGAATTACAATCTTATTCACAAAAAAATAATAATAATAAAACCTATCTTGTGGTACCTACCTTCCTAGCGCACATGACCACATCAATGCATCCATGAAAACTCCGGCTCGACTTTCATGATGTGTCTTGTATTGTGGTTATTTTATTTTAAATTAATTAACTATAAATAATACATATGGTCAATTATCATATAAGATAAAATATTTAAATAATTGAAATCATCTAGAAAAATTGGTATTCAGAAATTGTGTTCTTTTAAACTCACCCATTTGACCAATCATGCCGTATTATCACGAGAGTGAAGATTTAACAGTAAACCAAAATAAAATTTTAAAAAAACTGGTCACTTACATAAGATTTAACAACATAACAATATCGTTGCTTTAATAGTTCTAAAAATTAATACCAATTTAAGAATTCTACATCACATCTACACATTCAATATTTAATATTTGAATCAATGATATTTGGGTTTCAATTTCAAAATTATCCTCCATTTATAAGATAGACATAAATTAGATTTATTAGTAAAATCAAATTAAAATAATCAAAATATGATAATTCAAATATCAAATAACAAAGAAAGTACTTACGGGAAAGTTAGTGGGCTAGCTAACAGTAGTGGAAAAGTCGTATGATTTTTAGATTTCAGGTTTTTAGATTTTTTACTTGAAAAGATATAAAAGATTTCTTTAGCGTAATTGATAATGGTTGCTATCTTAGTTTGGAAAGAGCATGTATCGAATCCCGATATTGATGTAATTTTTTCTTATGAATAAAAAATAAATAATGATTGTGAAGACACAATTATCCTTCCTACTTTCGCTCTCGTTGCACGAAATTTGAAATGCTGAAAAACTGCCTCCAACTCGGCTATAATATATTTGTAGATGTGTTGATAAAAATACATAGTAGATGTGCATATGATACCAATAACACTTTTATATGGTTATATAAGAGTCATGAGGAACAATTCCATCTTAATTAGCAAGATACCTTTATGGAATGAAAAAGAGGAGTTCTTATAAGAATTAAGAAGTTAAGTGTGTTTAGTATAAAACAATGAAGAGAAGAACAACCTCATTAATCAGGCGAAACTACATTCAAAATGGACAATATCTTCTAAATCAGAAAAGTGATTGAGATGGTATAACCTCACCACCTCCCTTCTTTAGAGACATTTCCCAAAATGCCTTGGGTTCTTAAAAAAATTCACTCAATATAACACTTACGTAGGAAATATTCTCGGTACAAGTTTAGCCCGAATCACTGCTGCAGTCTTTAACGATTTGAGAAGTAGATCTTGGACAAAATTACACATACTAAATATAATTAAAGGTAAAAGTGTTTTACTGTTGCACAAGAATTCCCCTAACCTGCACTACTGTCATCTAACTTTGCTCATCTGCGAATATTTTGTCAACACATGACTATTGTAATGATCAGTAGAGGATGGAGTATTATTTATTCTTTTTGGTTTTGGCTAATTCATATGAGAGTTGGCTATACCTTAGAGTTTTATTAAATCAACCTAAGTTCAAAAATTACATTACAGTATTTTGTACTAAAATCATAGTTCAATCGTGGTTAAAATCAGGGTTGACACATTGTTCCAACACGAGCCTCGATTTATGTTTAGAAAAAAACAAAAATTGTAAAACCATAATGAAGGTCGTACCGGTAAAGTTAATATTAAAGTATTTTGTGCGAAAATCGTGACTCAATCAGGCTTGAAATGTTGCTCCAACCCGAGCCTCGAAGCATGTTAATAAAAATAAAAAAAATGTAAAATCATACCGAAGGTCGTACCAGAAAAATTAGCATGAGGTCATTTTGTGCTGAAATTGTACTTTAGTCATGGTCAAATCATTTCATAAAGCTAAAATCACCTATCGATTTAGATTCCGTTAGAAGTTTTTCTATTGGACCGCCATTATGGTACAATCATAGTTCAACCGTGATTAAATCAGGCTAGACACATTGCTCAAACCCGAGTCTCGATTTATGCTCAGAAAATACCTAAAATGGTACAACCATACCAAATGTCATACCCAAAAAGTTTGCATTAGGGTATTTTGTGCTAAAATCATAATTTCTACCCTGGTTTAATCAACCTTGACACGTTGCTCCAACCCGAGCATCAATTTATGGTCATAAAAACCAAAAATTGTAAAACCATTCCTTAGGTCATACCAAAAAAGTTAGCATTAGATTACTTTGTGCTAAAATTGTAGTTCAACCGTGGTTAAAATCAGGCTTGACAGTTGCTCCAACCCAAGCCTCGATGTACATAGAAAATCCAAAAATTGTAAAACCACACCGAAGGTCGTACCCATAAAGTTAGCAATATGATATTTGTGCTAATCATAGTTCAGTCGTAGTTAAAACCAGGTTTGAGATGTTGCTCCAACTCGAGCCTTAATGTATATTCAGAAAATACCAAAAATTGTAAAACCATATCGAAGATCGTACAAAAAATGTTAGAATGAGGACATTTAATGCTAAAATCGTAGTTCTATAGTGATTAAATCATTACATATAGCTAAAATCACCTATCACGTTAAATTATATTAGGAGTTTATATTATACCACTACTAAACACTGTCATAAATCAAATACGAGTTAACAAACAATTTTTCTAATCCTATCAAAACCGCAGCAAAAGTGCGGCAATAATCTACCTAGTTATAGATAACTACCCCCACCTCCCATTTTGCACTCACTTCTCCCTTTCTCACTTATCAGCTAAAAACAGAAGCAACACTCCCCTCTGCCTCTCTATTCTCCCAAACAGAAAACAGCCACTCAATTACCATAATTCATTCCTAAAAACTCAAATTATTATGTGATCAATAGATTGGATTAAGATTACTTCATAAATCACTCAAAATTAGCGAACTACATGTATTTTGATCACGACTATTAGGATACATAGCATCAGTTAGTTCGAGTCCGATTAATAAAAAATCACATTTTCTCCTATTATAAAAACACATGTTTAAAATAATAAGCAAATTAAAACCATATTAATCAAATCTCGTGGGCATGGTGGACCCCTTCGTCATGTGGATTTGCTACTTTATTTCTGGGACAGAGGGCGAGATGTGTTTGTCGATCTGACTGGGTCTTCACATTGACTCAGACTAGAATGACTGCTTTTGTGTCGGGTTGAGTTGTTGCTGATACTGCTCAGCAAAAGTGTGCCAAGTATTGGACTTGTGCATGGCGGTTGGTTACGATTTTTTGTCCTTTTTTTTTCTTCTTCGCTTGGAGAGTTGGATACGGAAGTTGTGGCTTGGCTCAAGCGAATCCATAAATTCTCCGTGTCTCGGGATGCGGTTGCTTGGACGGCCAAGTACTTTTTACTAGACTTAGATTTGTTGTAGCTAAGGGAGTGGGGGCCTAGATTGTATCTCGGTTGCCCACCAATTTTTTGTAGACCTTTGTTTGATCTTCATACAATAATTAATATTAGTTATAATACTTCAAAATAATAATACACCCAACCTTTAAAAACTAATTAGTTAAGTTGTGTCAATTTTTGTCTTTAGTAGGGGTGTGAATAACTTCCTAACAAGTAACCGTACTGTTGAACCTGGAACTCTAATAATTTGCAGACCAAGTTGCGATTTTAACCTCAAAATTATAACCGCTAAATATATTCGATCCACTACAATTAAGATCAATGACGACTCGGAGTGATACGCGAGTGAGTGCCGATTCCGAGGGACGGTTGCGAAGGAACAACTACCATGCATGATAAAAATCCCTAAAGAATTTGTCTAATAAGTGAAATTTGGAAACATTAAAAACAACCTCCATAACAAAATCGGTTCATAAAATATGTGTGGTGTTTGTGATGCTCCAACTTCAAGTC